AAAAATCTTTTTTTACAAAGGAGACTGTAATTGTTTCTTTTTCAGGTTTAGAAACATAAAGCATTTAAAAAGTAAATTGCCATTTATACTATAATTTCTATCCATATATTTTAAAAATGCTGTGTAGATTTAATGAAGTATCAATATTTCTGTTTTTTTAGAAAAAGCAAGGAGTTTATTTAGCATATATATGCTTGATCACAGTGCAGGAGGTTTTTGTACGGCCACTTAATGAGTTTGTATCACTGTGGTACACTTTTGGTGGAGGAACCAAACTCATCATTTACTGTAAGTACCAGAGATTTCTAATTTCTACAACATAAAAATTTAACTAAATTTTGCATGAAAATGTTATAAAAAAGAGTTTCTTTGGATGTCATACATGTTGTGGATATTGTTTTTTACATTTATGACTTGGGTTATATTTAAGTTTATCATTACAATAACATTGCGTATTGAATAAAATGTTCTAATATTATAGATGATCTAAAGGACAAAAACCTATATTTGAATCAAAGTTTTTTTTTCACAAATTCTTGTTATAACGGATGCCTCAGGAACAGTTTCAAAATAAAAAGATCATGTTTCTTATCTTTTAATTTGTTATTTTCAAAAATCTCCTATTTATTAAATCTGATGTGAGTGTCGTCAAAACAAATAAATGTGTTTATATGAACATCCAGTATAAATGCTGTTGTGCGTTGACAGTTTGTTAGTTTAAAGTTGTGAAAGGGAAGTGAAACAGACAGATGACAACATTTTTAACTGAAACAGACATTTAATTTAAATAAGAAAACAATTGCAAGGATGAATTATTTACTGAAAAACAATATAAAGCACATATAAACATTTTATATGATGATCATTGATTACAATTGTTGATTACATTTACCAGTTAGTCGTGTTGCATATTATTCTCTATGTTTTAGTGATTTATGATGAGTGGCACAGTAAAAGATTCATTACTTTAAAGTACATCAAGTTTTACCATTTTGTTTTCTTTATTAAACCCTCATTTCCTTCAATTCTCACCTCCTCTCCTCTGTCTGATCACAGTATCATGCACACAGCTGATCCACAGTAGTGTTAACCGCTGTCATGTATCATAAGTGTCTCATGTTCAGCTGTGATTCCTACAGTGGAAGTTGATCTGCTCCTTGTGTGTCTCTGCTCTCCCCCTCCAGCTGGCACCATGGTCAGGCCCTCAGTCTCTCTGCTTCCCCCCTCCTCTGAGCAGCTCTCTGGGGGCTCGGCCACGCTGGCCTGCCTGCTGACTGGCTACTCTCCTCAGGGAGCTGTGGTGAGCTGGGAGGTGGACGGTACAGAGGTGACAGAGGGGGTCCTGACCAGCTCAGAGGAGGAGAAGAGCGGAACGCTACAGCAGCAGCAGCACCCTGAGTCTGAGCAAGGAGCGCTGGATGGGAGGAGAGCTGTACTCCTGCAAGGTCCTCCATCATGACCACAGCCAGACACAGTCCCTCCACAGGAACCAATGTAAGGGTTAGAGGGGCGGGCTGAAATCTAGGACAGGAGCTCTGTGTGTGGGGAGCAGGAAGAACGCACCTGCTGCTCTGATCTATATGACTTTTAATGTTCATAGAGGAAACTAAAGCTTTGTGTAATAGAGAACAACACATTACTCTCTAAGTTGCTGCTGGATAACAACAACTTAGAGAGTAATGTGTGTAGCTCAGCAGCTAGATGTGAGTGTGCTTAATAATTGTCATGTTGATGACTAATGATTTTGCTAATAAAGCTTGCACTGATAAATAACTTTATGAAGTGTTTGGTATTTTATCTTCCAAAGAGCAGAAAGAATGAAGTGGTTTCATAACAGCGACTGATACTCTTCTCAGTGGAAAATATTAAGCTGATCATGTAAATATCAATGTCTTTCATTTTGGAATTGGTAATAAATGTAACGTTATGAAGAAATGAAAAGTAAAGGATACACATTTTTATGAAGATAAATGTAGACAAAACGTCATTTTTAATTAGGTAAAAATCACAGCTGAAATATGTGATCAGGCAACATTTGTCTGGAGCAGAGAGTAAATGTTTACAGAACATATCGTGGTCTCATTATGTTGATAGACAGATAGATAGTTTGCTTTCTTGTTTTATGAAAGTGGTATCGGTCAGCAAGAAAGCTAAGAAGAGCTATTGTTTAACTCTCCCTAAAATAATTATGATGAGATGGTGGTTATCGTAACAGTTTTACATTGTGACAAAAGAAACTTTTCATTCATCATAAATGTGGTATGAACATTAATGCATCCTTAAAAAACAGTGGAATATAATGAGTTATTGGTTTTGTGTTTCTTTTATATCATCTTAGCATTATTCCTGAGGATAAATATGTAGTGCAGGAGATCTTTGGATTTTTATTGCTTTGTGATGTTGAAATAGAAAATGCTACATTTAGAGTATAAATATATTTTGCATTTTTTAAATTAATTGGAAATGTTTGTTTCTGTTAGGGCTGTTGTTATGTTAAATTGTTTTGTGCAGCTATCAGAGTCACTGTTAAACATTTTATTTGTATTAGTGTCTATAGTCCCACAAGAATATTATTTACTTTACTAATACTTTCCCAACTTACTCAGAAAGAGATTTGCTGAACTGATAATATTATAAGTTTAAAACTGTAATATGGAAGAGTGTGTGTGTGAGTTTGTTTCAGTTTTATTTAGATTCATTGTGGTTCTGCTTGATGACTCTTGAGTTGTGTTCACTGAACCAGTTATCCTCATCGCAGTCTCTTCACCAACCCTCTGCACCTGCAGCAGGCTGTTTTCACTTCAGTCAAACTGAAGGAGGTTTTTGTACGGCTCTAAATCACTGTGTGAACGCTCCACCATGGTCGCCCAGACAGTAGTAATCTCCAACGTCTTCAGCCTGAACACCACTGATGGTCAGAGTGTAGTCAGAACCAGATCTACTGCCACTGAATCGAGAAGAAGTTCCTGAGAAGCGAGTTGATGTATAGTATATAAGGAGTTTCGGAGCCTGTCCCGGTTTCTGAAGGTACCAACTGAGATCATCACCAATGTCTGAACTCCCTGTGGCGCTGATGGCCACAGTCCCTCCAAGACTAACAGACTTGGATTTGTCACTCTGAGTCAGAAAATTATTTGCAGAAGACTCTGAAATGTAAAATTAAATACAAACGTTAAGAATTAGCAGTGTAGATTACAATAAATTAGACATCAATGATTTGAGGCAAGAGCAAGGTAAGTGATATTTATGCCAAATATGAACTTTTGAGAATTTACCAATGTTGGCTAACTGTGAAAAATTTCTCACCCTGACTCAGAAAACCCAACACTACAAGCAGAGTTATTGGCAACATCATCCTGATGCAGTTTCCAGTGTAAGTGCATGAAAACAGTTCAGACTCTCTGTGACAGAAGAACTTAAACTCTGAGGAGCAGTGACGCATAAAAGTTATGCAAAATATATTTAAGGCAAATACACACCTGTTCTTGTGAAACAGAAAGCAGAGGTGAAATAGAGGGGAAGTTTATCTTCAGGATCATTCGGCCATTTATTCATAGAACTACATTTAGAAAATGTTGACTTTTTGTGGCTTATATTGTTTCTCTTCACTGTGAACATTCTTCTCTTACTTGTGTCTTGTCCCAGATGATTTTGGCATCATTAGCAGATGAACTCCTTTTGGCAAATAGCATCAACACTGGACTCACGATAAACCAACATCGATTTTGAATTTCCTTATTTTTACATTCAGTTTCTCCTCCTCATTCTGGTGAAAACACACACAGATTTCAGATCCTGCTCAGAGTTTTAGGTGATGAACCACCTGATGTTTCCCTCAGCCAGGTCACTGTTATTCAAGGAAGTTTAAAATTATGGGCAACTGGACTAGATTGAAGAGAGGCAAAACGTCCTGCAGTATCCTCAACCCAGTCCAGTAGTTCATGTGAAGTAAAAATTTGGCGTCCAGTATCTCAGACAGTCAAGTTCAAGTTCAAGTTCAAGTTTATTTATATAGCACATTTAAAAACAACCCTAGTTGACTAAAGTGCTTTCCAGGTTCAGGATACACAACAAATATACACAAAAAAAACCCAAATGTGTCTTAGTTGGAGCTGCTGTTTTATGCTGTAAAATGTTGGACAAACACAAGGAATAAGCAGCAAGATACGAGTGAGCTTAACAACTGTTGATGGTCAGGATACTAAAGTGCAGTCCGTTTTAACGTTTTAAAACACAATGTTAAATGTTTTTCTCAAATAAATGTTCCACTAATTACTAACAAGATGAAGTATGATGATGTTTTAGTGGACAGAATTCAGATTTTACATTAATGCAAAGCATCTACTGATACTGCACTACAGTAAGAGTAAATGATGAACATATTGAGTTATATTTTAACTCCGTCATTTACCTGACGCTTTTATCCAAAGTTACTTAAAGTTGCTACATATGTCAGAGGTCACACTCCTCTGGAGCAACTAAGGGTTAAGTGTCTTGCTCAGGGACAGAGTGGTGGATGTGTCGCAGCGGAATGGGAATTCAAACTGGGAATCGAACCCAGGTCTCAAACGCCATGTGTCTTCTCCACTGCTTCATCGCCATGCCATAAATAAAAGTTTGTTTAAGTAAAAGTGAAAAGGATCAACATTTTGTTTGTGCTTGGTGAGGTTACCGTCTATTATAGATTTCACTGTATTATGTTAACCAACCTTGTACGTACCAGAGAATGTATCATGAGAGACTACACGATGTGTTTTTATTATTTCATTATGTTTTTATCTATTTACCTCTTAACTGTGTCACTTTCTTTTGCAAGGAACATATAGCATTGCTTGTTCCTTACTGACAACCATGTGCAGTTATTCACATAACTTGGGAGCTTCTCCAGATTTCTGCTGATACCAGTGTACTCTACTATCTCCATCTGACCAAACGTAAACTTTTGGGTTGGTTTTACAGGTCAGAGTGACTGTAGATCCAGGAGACGATGTGACTACAGCAGGTTGAGTGACAGTCACTTACTTGATCCTGAAAAAGGAGGGAAAATACTGAACATTAACTGTGTCATATTAACATTTAGACACGTGTGTTAAATCCAGCAAATACTTCATTTATGTCAATGGTTTTAGTTATCTGATACCTGACCTTGGATGAAGCAGCAGGCCAGCGTCCAGATGAGGGTGGGGATGAGAGTCATGGTGGTTGTGGTTTCTGCTGTGTTGACTGACAGATCTGAGTCCTGCAGTGTTGAACTCACAGGACTATAAACCTTCTCAGTTCACTGGAGGATCAGCTGACGATGCCAGTGTCAGTATGAAAATTCTCCATTGTAAAAATTAAGGAAATGAACACTGGATAAATAACTGTCAGTAAGTTTCTCCCAGCTTTTATTCATTTTATCAAAATATTTCAAAACACCAAAAAAACTGTATCATAATATTCATGTTATCAATTTGCAATTTGAAGGACATCAATTAATGATAGAAAGCTTTTTAAAACATTTTCTGTCACATTTGTGTGTTTTGAGCTCAGTGCTGTGTGGTGGAGGTTTTGTGTTCTGAACCAGCTTGAATCACTGTGTTCAGGGTTCGAAATTAGTGAGGTCCAGATATTTTGTTTCTTTAATAGAGCTTATTTTCAATATTTTAGTGAAGGCTTGAACCGGGCAATGGGCGCAGCACTGTGTTTGGGTGAAGAACACTAACTATAGGCTGTTCATCATGGTCTTTCTCCTTTACTTTTAGGCTTTCTACAATTCCATAAAATAAGAGGTAGGGAGTTAAGTATATTTTGTCACAATATAACAGGTTATAGAGTGAAACTGAGGTTGTTGCTCCCTTCTGCCACATAGCAGACAATATACATTAATAAAGAAATAAACAAAAATAAACTATAGTCAGTGGAGCAGTGCTGAGGATGAATTTGAGTTTAAAAGTCTGATAGTTTGGGGGGAAAAGCTGCTCTCCAGTCTGGTGGTGTGAAAAATTTCTATATCTCTTCCCAGAAGGCAGCAGGGTGAACAGGCTGTGGCTGGGTGGGTACTGTCCTTAAGTATCCTTTGGGCTCTGCGTAGACACCTCACCTCACAGATATCACTGATGCTCAGGAGATGGGTACCAATGATCTTCTGAGCAGTTTTAATCACCCACAGCGGAGCCCTCCAGTCCTCTTCTGTGCACATATGCCAGTTTGTGATACTTTCTGTCAGGGTGCTTTCTATAGCTCCTTTGTAAAAGCTGACAAATACTTGGCACAGGAATTTGGCCTTCTTAAGCTTCCTCAAGAAATACAGTTGTTTCTTACGTTTCTTCACAAGCGTGGAGATGTGAGATGACCATGTCAGGTTCTCCCTGTTCACCTGCTCCACATCAGCACCACTGATGTAGACCGGAGTGTGTGTCTTTATCTCTGTAACCGCTAAGCTTAAAACAGCCGAGGGTTATGCAGAGGGTTAAAGTGGGCTATAGTTGACGCGCTTACCGTGGTCGCTTTGGCTTGATTGAGCAATGATACAACAAAGCTTAAAGTTATCTTTTCTTCTCTGTTGTGAGACATGTTTATTGGATTTACACAAGGATTTCCTTTTCCATAACAGAACAATATTCCATCTTCACCAACAGTCACTTAACATGCTTTCAACCATAGCCTCCGTGGCGTGGCGTGGCGTGGCGTGACGGTCAAAAACTAGTTTGCCCTTTTCCCTCTAGCAACACCTGTCCTTGATTACAGCTAGCCTAAGTAGATAAGCCCCAATCACTATGCCATAACCCTAGTGCCACCTAATGGCCAAACCTGGATATAAACATTGAAATGGCTCCTACAACACCGGCCCCCAATTGGAATGGTTAACGAACATTACAATTCAAAACAAACCAAATTAAGGATCCAGTACCAACCTAACGTAACATATTAGCCAACATTTGTTACAATGAGTTCACACACATTAACACTGAAAATTGTCCATTTAACCTGCAGCCTCAATCAAAAGGCAGAGCTTTGTAACAGGACGTTGAATGACACTTGACTTTGTTTGCAGACTCACTGAACGCACAAATCCCTTTTGATCCCGGAAAGCTTCCAACACTCTTCCTAGTGGCCAAGAGCCTCGTGGGGCAGTAGGATCCATTATAACGACAATATCTCCAGGCTTTAGGTTTCTCCTGGTTTCATTTCATTTTTGCCTCTCTTGCAGCAAAGGTAGATATTCCCGTACCCAACGTTTCCAAAAAAGTTCAGCAATATACTGGACTTGCTTCCATCTCCGTTTTAAATACAAGTCATGTGGTTCAAACAATCCTGGCGGCAATGATGGATTTCCTTTCATCAGAAGAATGTGGTTGGGAGTAAGTGGCTCCAAATCATTTGGATCATCTGAGAGTTTGGTGATAGGCCGATCGTAAAGGATGGCTTTAGCTTCACACATAACTGTATGAAGCCCATCATCGTTCAGGGTCTGCTGTTGAAGAACTGAACTTAGAATCCTTCTCACCATGCGGATAACACGCTCCCAAACCCCACCATGATGTGAACCGGCAGGAGGATTAAAGCTCCACTTAACTCCCCTTTGCCGCAGAACTCCCTGAATTTTTCCATGATCTAAAGCTGCGAGAGCCTCTCTTAGTTCTCGCTCTGCTCCTATGAAGTTGGTTCCATTATCAGATATGATATGAGAAACTTGACCTCTTCTACAGATGAAACGTCGCAGAGCATTGATGCATGCGTCAGTGTTCAAAGAGTCAGCCACTTCGAGATGGATTGCTCTGCTTGCCAAGCAGGTTAGTATCACGCCATAGCGCTTGTCTGTACCACGTCCTTTCCTCACTGTAATTGGGCCAAAATAATCAATGCCAACGTTGGTAAATGGTGGTTTGTCAGGAAGAATCCTTTCCTCTGGCAAATCAGCCATCTTTTGCTCCTGCATCTTTCCATTATATTTCTTGCAACAGAAACATTCTGCAATTACCTTTCTTACAGCGGAGTTGGCTCTAGTGACCCAATACTTCTTCCGCAGTGTTGATAGCGTGTGATTCCGCCCACTATGGCCCTGCTGCTGATGAATGTGCCTGAGGATGAGAGTGGCCACATTTTGATCCTTGGAGAGGATTAGCGGATGTTTAATCAACTCTGGCAAGGAACTTTTAGTCGACCGCCCTCCAACTCTGAGAAGCCCATCATCCAAGCACGGATCCAACCTGTGGATTGTACTACGTCTGCTCACTGTAGATTTCCCAGCTGACAATATGGCAATTTCCTCTCCAAATCGCTGTTGCTGACAGTATCGAATTACAGCTCCCAAAAGGTCATCTATGGACAAAATTTGCCCTCCAGGCTTGTCCTTTAACCCTTGCCTCCTCCGTGGCATATTATTGTCCGTGCTCTGCTTACCATCAGCTTTCTCCTCCCTCCTCCTGCGACATTTTTCCAACAAAATGGCTTTCCATTTAAGTAACCAGGCTACTGCCACCTTGAGCTTATTCCAACTTGAGAAGTAAGTCAGTAACCGGTTTGTGGCATCATGTGAGCCATCCACAGACACAACATTCACTGTGACTTCCTTCTTGACCTCCTGATCGGGTTCTATGATAGTTTCTACAACATTTGTTGTCCAGTTAGCTTCTGGTTCACTCAAAAAACTTGGACCCTCTATCCACCTCCGGCCATGAATAAAGTCTCCAACCCTCACTCCTCTGGATGCCTCATCCGCTGGATTTTCCTTGGAGCTGATGTATCGCCATTTGTGATCCAACTGCTGTTCTGAAACTTGCTCTGCGTAGCCCAGACTGATCACCCTGTTGAGGTTCATTTTGTATTCCTCATAAAACTGTTTGTTATTACAGAACCTCCTTTTCAGCCCGAGCAACCTTTGCTTTACTACAGAGAAGTTGTTGGGCAGAGATACATTGTTCTTTTTAAAGGGCAGCTTCAAACTGTAATGACCATCGTCCAGTGTTGCAGAATTTTCCATAATTTCCATGAACTTGATGTCTTCTACTGAAGGGCCTTTGTCCTCTGTAGCTCTTTCGTTAAAATCATGATTGTACTGGCTATGTAGCATTTCTTCCAATCGTCTCACGGAAATCCTGTTAACGACTACTGAAGGAGCCTCTGTCTCCAAACTGCTGTCATTAGACTGCAAAGGGCCATTAAGGACCCACCCCAATACCGTCTTGATTGCGTATGGTCCTCCCCCTTGGCTATTTATGACCTCCCAAGGTTCCAATATCCTCGGAGCATTGCTTCCAATTAATAGGTCAACATTAGCCTCTAAGCTGGGAATCTGTACTTTTGCCAGATATGACCATTTTGCCAACTCTCCTTCAGAGACAATACTGTCTGCACTTACAGGCATTTTCTTCTGCGTGAGGACTTCTGGTAGCTTATAGAAGACATTACTATCCATACTAGACACCTCCAAGTCAAACAATAAATTTGCCGGCACGACCCTTTCCTGTCCCATGGTTTGTAACAGAAAATGTGTTTGTTTACCAGACAACCCAAGCCTTTGCATGAGATGTTCCGAACAGAAAGTGGCTGAACTGCCGGGGTCCAGAAATGCATAGGTTTGTATTACTCTGCCTCCTTGGATGGATTTGACTTGGACTGGCAAGATGGAAAGGAGGCAGCGATCACTTCCGACCCCTACACGACCACAGGCTTCTTTAGATGCTGTGGTGTTAGGTCTCACAAGATCCTTAGATCGCTCTGTGTATGCATTGGCTTTGTCTCTCCTGTCAACATGAAGCACACTAGGATGTGCTTGACCGCAAATCCCACAGGTCGCACGCTTTCCACAATTGCGACTCATGTGCCCAGCACATAAACAGCCAAAGCAAAGCTCTTTCTCCTTTAGAAAGATTATTTTATCCTGGTGCTTCTTCCTTTTGAACTGTAGACATTCCTCCAAAGAGTGACTTTCCGAACAACACACACAAATTGATCTAATAGTAGAACCATTTTCTGGCAAGACAGCCTTTCTCTCTCCTAAGTCTCTTGCTGAATGTACAGGGGCAATGGTGGTGGCAAAACTATTTCCTTTAAATCTTGAGCCTGGCTGCGACTTCAGCCTGTCGACCTTAGCACCACCTGTTCCTGGTGCTGAGTCCCGAATATCACCAAACAAAGGGTCTGACAGAATACGGACATGTTTCTCAATGAATTCCACCAAATCTTTGAACAGAGCTCTACGGTCAGATGTAT